TATCACCATGGGGAAACGACAGCATCAAAAGGATAAAATGTATGTATCGTTTAGTATAAAAACTATTTTCATAAAATTTCCCGTCTCGTGGTATTTTATCTTGTTGTGATTATTTACTAATCATGTATGTTTTATTGTAATTTTCAGGTACCTGACGTACACCGAGTGGACGACACTGTACGGAGGTAAAAGATCAGGCACTAGTAAGGAAGAAGACACTACTTTTAAACGCCTGCCGTTTGACCATTGCTGCCTATGTCTTCAGCCTTTCGATGACCCTTACTGCGACATGGACGGCAATATATTTGAGTTGCAAGCCATATTAGACTTTGTAAAGAAGTTTAAAATCAACCCAGTTACTGGGAAAGTAAGTATATTTGGTACCTATAAAACTTTAAATCACAAAGTGTCCCATAAAAAATAACACATGTAGGTACATAATGTCTTGCCCTTAATAAAGACAATAAGAAAAGTTTTAAACTTTAATAATACTATTCTTAATTACACTCTACTAATTAGCAAATTAATTTAAAAACCAATTACTTATTAGTCTCTGAACTAGATAATAAAATGCCAAATTTTCATTGCAAATAAATCCCATGGAAATGAGTGAAAACAGATTCCAACTAGATGCTGTAAATAACACCACAAGAAATTTAATTATGTTATTTCTTTACAGAAAATAGACATAAAGACCTTGACCAAGTTGAATTTCTTCAAAAATGCTGAGGAGGACTACCACTGCCCAGTTCTATTCAAGCCCTTCACAAAGAACTCTCATATTGTGGCCATCAAGACCAGTGGGAATGTGTACTCAAATGAAGCTGTGGAGCAGCTGAACATCAAAGGCAAGAACTGGAAGGACCTGATCAATGACACTCCATTCACCAGGGCTGATATCATTACCGTACAGGACCCTAACAATCTTACAAAGTTTAATATCTCTAATTTTCATCATATTAAACATAATCTGAGGGTTGAGACTGAAGGTAAATACTTTTTTATATTTAACATAATATTAATAAATGTCTGATTATTAAAAAATCACAACAATTATTCATACAAAAGTAGTCGTAAAAATCTATAATGGTGTAAGTGGAGAGCTGTCACCGATGACCATTTGGATCTTGACCAATAAATTAAGTAACTTGTGAAGCTTTTCTATAGATGTGACTTTTATTGTGGATATCATTAGATTACCATTACCACTGTCTTTTCCTAGTTGAACATCTTCCAGAGAATAATACAGGTCTCCAAAAGCCAATAAGGGCAATAATAAGCCAGTTCAATGAGGACGAAGCCTATAGTGTTGCTAAGTTCTTATTTTTTACTAAATTGAAACTTTGTTTTGCAGAGGAAATAGCAATGAGGAAAGATCCCCATGCCAGACTGAAGACAGTATCAGCTGAAACTAAAGATATCCTACAGGAACTGGAGAAAGAATACAAAGCACCTGAAAAGAAGGAAATAAAGAAAGAGGTTAGTATTACTTATTTTCACAGCATTCTTATTCAAATAAGAATAATATGAAATTTAATTAAACTAAAGACTGAAAGACCATGAATAATATTTTTGTCATCTTATTAGTCTACCTGTATGACCTGGCAGCCTAAAAGCACATGAACCTTAGCTCATGGTATTTTTACACCGCACATCTTAATACATAATGCATGGTATTTTAATAATATGCATGGTATTTATGGATGGAGTCCTCTAATAATATTCCAACCACACAACAAATTACCAATGACAGCAAAACATTTGATATCTCTTTTTCCTCATAATTAAATAATGTGTTATGTTCATCAGGTTGCAGATAAATTCAATGCGGCTCATTACTCTACTGGTATGGTGGCTGCCAGCTTCACATCCACTGCTATGATGCCAGAGACAGTCCATGAAGCTGCTATTATCTGTGAGGATGATGTCAAATATGATATGGTCAAGAAAAAAGGTTGGTAGCAAAATTTTGATGAGTGATATGATGATGAGACATTTTGATGTTAAAAGTAGAAGGATTAATATTACAAATATTGTGTTTCCTCTGAAACAATAACAAAAATTGTGTTGCTTATAATAGTATTTTCATGTTATACAATGATAATTAATCTGTTCTTAAAGAGTGATTTTTCTAACTAGCGTTGGTTTCTTACGAGTTCTTATCAAACTCCTCCAACACACACTGTCCACACTCAGACCTAATACAAGTATCATTTATCAAAAATTTTTATTATTTTCAGGATATGTAAGACTAGTCACAAACCTGGGGCCTCTGAACTTCGAGCTGTACTGCGACTTAACGCCCAAAGCATGCGACAACTTCATCAGACATTGTAACAATGGATACTATAATGGAACCAAGTTCCATAGGTCTATTCGGAATTTTATGGTGAGTAACTATGCATGCAATAATATGCATGTGTTAATTTTTTATGGTGAGGCGGGTCCTCCCTGCGGGCAGGCCCTCCTCTACACGTTTTAATCTCAACATCTTCATCTTATGTGCAACAACAATGATAAACATTCAGTGTATGATTTGTCTACAAGTTTTGTCTGTGAGTAAAGAATATAATGTTAAACGTCATTATACAACTGAAAACATTTTTCGGGCTCTCCAGGTTTTGTAAGAAATTTAATTAGCCTGCGGTATATATAGTTTGGACAGCCCTGGTGTAGAGTATGGTTACATCTTCTTCTTGATGGATCACCTGGTGGAATTAAAGCTTTTATGAGATATGTCTTAAATAATCATTATATTTCGGCTTACACACGTACATAACTGTTTGACGAGAAACTCGACTAGTTTCAAGCCATGCTAGAGGCTCTTATTCATGAGCAGCATTTCGCGACACACGATGCGGCAACTGTCGCGCTGCTACTTCTACATGTATGTTGCTAACCCTTAAAGGATTTTGGAATTGGGCCTCTGGTCCTAGCATACGACAAACACAACACCTGCGTAGTTTCACCCCAGATTTCTATGAGGCCCTAGTATCATTCCTCTGGTCTCCGCTCTGATAATCATGTCTTTTTTTAATTTGATATTTCAGATCCAAGGTGGCGATCCAACTGGCACTGGTTTGGGTGGTGAGTCAGTCTGGAAGAAACCATTTGAAGATGAAGTCAAGCCGAATTTACATCACACTGGCAGAGGGGTGCTGTCTATGGCGAACTCTGGACCAAATACTAATGGATCGCAGTTGTAAGTATATTTTTATTTAAGATCGTGTTTTAAATTTTTTGAGGGAGTTGGCAGAAATTATCTCCTGTCATGTTCTAAGTTCCATGTCATGAGGGCACATACGATAATTGGAGCACAGTTCTACATAATTGCACTATGAATTTAATTTTACCCGAGATTGTTGCTCGGCAGTCAAGCTTGTGATCAGAGAGAAAGAAAAATATTTATTCGGCACATTGCATTCACAGAGATGTAGACAAAAATTAAAAAAAAAAATAATAATACATAAATAAAAACAAATTAAAACAAAAATTTAACATCACAAAATTACCAAAAATAGATGCATGCTTATGCCGAACGGGCCTCCACAACAGCATTATGTTGAGCGTGGTAATACTCAATGCTGGTTTTCAAGACAGATAAGGCATTATAAGTATGCTACCTAGTTATTATATTTGTATAATTCAGTTTTCGATTACCTGTGTCTAACAATTGTAATGTTTTCAGTTTCATAACCTTCCGTTCTTGCAAACAACTGGATGGCAAGCACACGATATTCGGCAAGCTAGTTGGTGGTATGGATACTCTAACGGCCATGGAGCAGATTGAGGTTGACAATAAGGACAGGCCCATTCAAGATATTGTTATTGAAGTTGCACAAGTCTTTGTGGATCCCTTCGCTGAAGCTGAAGAACAGGTAATGGATATAATATAAACCTAGTGGCCTAATATAAACTAAACAACTATTTAGTGTCATACCAAGACATTGCTTTATACAGAAGAGCTTCTAGAATAATAAGACTTATTTTTCTCATATTTGAGCACCAGTCAGTCTGCCTCATTAGCCGAGTGGTCGCAAGTGCGATTGCCGGGCAAGGGGTCTCGGGTTCGATTCCCGGGTCGGGCAAAGTATTATTGGATTCTTCCAGAATCTCAGTAGTAGCACAGAGTCTGGAATTGTGCCCGGTATATGGCAACAAGCTCACCCCCTATTACGTGGGACCCATAACATAAATAGTGGAAAGTGGGTGTTACTTCTGTGTGCACCTCTGCCTGCCTAGTAACGAATGGAGTTTCTTGCTCGTTCTTCTCCACTCGAATCGACATTTTGGAACGAGCGCCTAGCTTCACTGACGGACAGACTGACAGACTATATATAAGATCTCATATTTGTTGACGTTTCAAAAGTACCAAATTATGGTCTAATTGAAATAAATGCTTTTGAGTTTGAGTTTACCTTTTCGGGGATAATAGGCGTGATGTTAAGTTATGTCAATAGTCCCTGAAAGTTTTCCCTGAAATATTTTCCTAATCATGGAGAATAGTGTTATTGTTTTCCTTACAATGTTTTTCAATGTGTTATAAATTGTTACAGCTTATCAAAGACAGAGCAGAGGAACTAAAAAGGAAAGCAGAAGCTGAAGGATCACAAGTTAGGCCGAAGAAAGCAAAACAGCCGCTGAAAGTATTCAGAGACGGAGTCGGCAAATATCTCAATTTACAAGAAGTAGCGCCACCTGCGCCTACCGCTAAAACCACTAAGACATTAGAACCTCCCACCAAAAAGGTTAAAACCGATAAAAAATTTGGTTTTGGTGGTTTCGACAACTGGTAATAAGTGTATGTGTATTTTAGTTATAATATTTGTACATATTGTATACAATTCTTTATAGTTATAAGTTGTAGAATAAAAATACATTTAATTTTAATATTTGTTTATTTTTATTTATTTATACCTCCTAAAATACTGACAACTTTAAATAAATTCATAACAATTTTTCTTTTACTTATTACTCATATCATAATTAATAATAAATTCTTCAATTAAGTAGGTACATCTATAATGTTAATTAAAACATTAAATAAGTTGGATACCCAGTTTATTTAACTATTCCTAATAAATACATCAACACAATAATAAGTGCCATTATCATGTATATTTAATAATTCATTACATTTTTACCCCTTGAGTCGTATTTAAATATAAATGAGTATAAATAGGTAACAGTTGACATATTTGTTCAAATCTTTGTCATTACATCCAACTTGTCTTTTTTATGAAATAGAAGATAAATAGACATTGTCTATTTAAAATAATAAATTTGGATTTTAATTCACTTCAAATAAAAGAAAGAGGATTTCAACTGGCTCTTAATTTGCTTTATCTGTGAAAGCTGTTTAGCACATACAGTTACATTACAAATACTGAATCTAGTTTCATAAAAGGTGAAATTTAAGCTGAATCGTGATGTTTTGTAAATCTTTACATATACATAAATCATTGGATATTTCCTAACAGTACCAGATACCATGTGTTTTATCAACACTATGCTACACCATTTTAATATCTTTTTTATTTTATTTTTTCACCTTTAAGTTTGTCATTATCCTGTGACTATACAGGCTAGTCATGGGCCAGTAGCCTTATTGGCACCATTGTCAAACTCAATATCTTTATCATAGTTTCATAGCCTGATTTTTTGCTAATCATATGTTTAGTTATAATTAGTGCGCCGTCTAGCAGTCCTCTGCTTGTCAAATCTCATTTCCATCTCTTCTAAGACCTTCGGAGTGTATCGCACTACCAGTTTGACTGAGCCAACTGCTTGCTTCAATAATTCTACAGCTTTCTCGTGATTTTCTCCCTCCACTGACACGCCGTTCACAGATAACAGCTGGTCGCCCCTCTTAAGGCCTCCATGGCGGTCGGCAACACCACCAGGAATTATACGTGATATGTAAATAGGTGAATTTTGTTCCTTCCCACCCATTACGTTGAAACCTAAACCTTCTTCCGTCTTCGGTAGCTCGACAACTCTTGGGTGTGCATGACCTTCAGCAGCAGCGAACGCGGCCACCGTGGCTTTGGCTGTCGCGGAAGCCCTGATGTCTGCTGAGCCTTGGATGTCAACAGTCTCATAGACATGCTCATACACTTCACGGACAGCATTTAAGAAATCACTTTGTAGCACTTTCTGTAATGCTGCAAGCTTCGTAGCAGGAACTTCACCACTCTGTTGAAGTTTCTCGAGCAATTCGATAGCCCGTTTTATGTCCCTGGCAAGGGTTAACTGTTCCCCAGAACTACTCATGGTATTTGAATTGATTTAATATGTGGAAATTAGAAGAATTTGGGCGTATTAAAACACGAAAGCGAATCAGTGAATCAATACACTACAGCAGGTACTTCACGTTCGAAAACTAATTATTACTAAATAATCTGAAAATGTTACACACAAATTAACTTGCAGATTACATTGTTTCAGCTCATAAATATCTTGAATTTAGTGTTTTAATTTACTCAGAACTTTTAGTAATTTTGTAAAACATACACTCAATTTTTTCACAATTTATACACTCACAACTCATCAATATTTTCTAGGTAAACTTTCGGAACGTTTGGAATTTGACATTTGATAAAAAAATTGTATTGGTACCATATGATGTTTATGTCTTCGTTTAGAAATAGAGTAACCTATTGTTTTATTTTGTACAGTATTAATTTTTGAATACTTTCTACACTAATTATTTTCTAATCACTCTACAAATGTGAAGTTTAACAAGTTTTAACAAGTTTTCTAAGGTTTGTCTTAGCTATTTATGAAGAAAATAAATAATCGTTCGGAAATACCAAAAAATATTTGACAACCGTTCAGTTGCCAACCAACATTTCGCCAATAATGCTAAATATCTAAATTGCCATAATTGGGCAGTAATTTTCAACTTTGATTTACAGTATTATTGAAGTATTTTACAATTTTTATTATACAGGATAAGTGCTAAACTAGTGTAAGATTTAAAGTGTGGTGAAAGTGACTGAAGAAACATTGCAATTGTCGAGACAATGGATGATTTAGGTAAGTTTAGGTCTTATCATAACCTGTTTTGGTTGCTGTATATGATATGACGTGTTCTGCTAAAATAACTTGTTAATTTGCATATTTGTTCCTTGTGGGTCCTTCTAGTCTTATCCATGACTCAGTAGCTTAGGGCGGATCCTGACATTTATGCATTTGGAGATGGTATTCGCTGATAATTTGTGTAGTTCCTGGCTTCAAATATTTTGTTTATTTAAGTTACACATATGGATTCTGTGATTGAGAAAAGATGTAAACCGGTAGTCTTTAAGGTCGTTGCAATTGTGTAATGCTGGAGAGAAAGGATAGTAGAGATTTCTTATAAGTTTGAAAAACTCATTATTTACTTTTCCTTATCTATGCAAACAAAACAGTTTATCACATTATTATCATAAGAGTTTGACATAAAATTATGTCAGTGACCTCTTCAAGGATTCAGTACGGGTACATTTGTGTTATCATTTTATTATAAGTAGTTATTTGAAAGCTTTTAATTTTATGAAGATTAAATAAAAAATATACAATTACTTAGTAAATACATCATGTTAAAGTCCTTGTTGAGTACCTTAACAAAACTAGATTTATTTGATAAATTAATTTTGCTAAATTTGAACATAGGAAATAATATTAGATTTAGTTAAGGAAATCAATGCAGTTCCAGGTAAAATATTAAACTATTACATTAACACATATTATTAATGAATCACTTAAAATGTAGGAATTATGTTCATGAGGTTGTTCATTTACCTGGAAAAATATTAATATAACCATTCATACATTGTACAAAATTACCATTTTTGTATAATAAGGACGGTATTAATGCAATTTATTTCATTATTGTAATGAAAATAATATTGATGGTATGTACGATTAGTAGTGAATATTTATTTTTATTAAAAATTAAATTCAGTTTTTTTTTTATTTATAATATCTTTCTACCAAACAGCCTACACTAAGTGCACTTTGTCCGTAACCTATTAAAGTTTTTTGAGGGTTACAATAATAAAACATTGTCCTACCCTGGGTGCTGCGAGAGGCAGTGTCAAAGTCTTACTGACTAAAACCACCATGTTCCAACTCTTACTCAGTACCTGGGTCACGGTATCTGCGATTTTATCCGCAACCCTGACTGAATGACTATAACTATTATAGAGGTAACATAATGTTTTCTTAGTGCTGCCTCTACGGGCACTACCAATACAACAAAAAATATCTGTTTACTCACGTAAATATACTGAGAAAAGCACTTCTAGTTTCAAGTCACAGAGGGACTCTTCATTACCAGCGGATGCGGCGACTGCTTTGTCTACAAGTATATGATTAAACCGATATTATTTGTAATCTAGTGACTATGTATGTCTATCTGTCTTACTCACGACTAGTTAATATAAAAATAGGTACTTACTACCAATAACAAGTCTTTTGTATAAATATTTAAATTCAATGGAACATCAAATATACTTCACCTCATATCCATAATCTGCGTCTATTTAACGCCCAATTTAATTTGGCGTCAACAGAAATTTGTTTGCTGCTACTCATTAAAGTAAATTCCAGCAAAAGGACGGAAACAAGTTTATAGGAATGTGGCGCCATAACTTAACTAATCCAGTTTGCGTACGTCTAATAATAATAATAAAATATTGACAACATAATATCCTGAACTGATTTCTTATAATAAATTTAAAATTTTATGTGAACTTCTTGACAATCGAAAATCGATAATGTTATCGATATAACTTAACCTTAATCGAATTTTGACGTTACTGACTCGGTAAAGTAAGGTGAACCGTTATTTGAATCGATACTGTCTCGATTTTCGATAACAAAATTGTCCAAAATATTACGAATCTCCGTAGCATTAAAAATTAAATAACAAAATGACTACCTATACATTATTAACATTGCCGTTTGCACTTCACGTGCTGAAGAAAACTACAGTAGATCCAGTTCCAGTTTGCCAAAATAAAACAGTTACGAAAAAAAATCCTGAATGTGATTGGTAAAGATAAACACAATCATTCAACGACAGTTCAAAATAAAAATCATATATGAGCTCGTACACAAAACTGTGATGCGACGCGATGCAACTTCGCAACGCAGAGATGCGATTTCGTGCGACAAGGCGTCTCCCAGGGTGACCACCACTCCTTTGACGATCGTCAACCGTATTAGATTTGAAGATTTTGGGAAGATAAGATTTTGATGCGCGATGGGAATCAATTCGCAAGTTCTTGCGATGCGTAGAGGGAGCTCGCACATTTTTGCGATGCGATGTCGCATCGCAGTTTTGTGTACGAGCTCTATATTGTTGATTAATATTTTTTTTAAATCCCTACGTGTAAGGAAATTAGAAAAGTACCTATACACGTAGATGTAGCTAGTTTCCCTATACATAATGGCTTTTATAAAATTGCTGGGTGGGAGTGGCGAACCGACATCGCCGGTCATTAATCACCGCGAGGCGATGTTGTGTCATCAAGGGTTATTTCCCAAGCCATTAAAGGGTTGAACTAACTATCTGATTTATTATTATTTCTTATCAAAGCTCGATGTAGCTGACGACATGAAAAGCTGGCTTTCATGGTCGTAAAAATGTTTTAATGCGATTCTGAACAGAAAATGTGTAGGTAAAGTTTATTTGCTTAGCAGTGTTAATGAAACGGTACTAACCAATCGTAATATTTTGTAACAAAACTGTGTAAGAAAGAAATAACTATAAAATTGATATTGATGCAGGGCCGAAGTCGAAAATAACAATTTGTAATGGATAGGTGAAACGGAAATCCAAAAAATTAAAGCCTATATCAAAACTTATTTAACTAGATTAAATAATAAAATCATTACTGAAGCCTGAGAAAAATGGCCAACAAAATAAACTCAAACAACCGCTTTAATTCATAACAAAACTATAAATGAACAGCAGATGCAAATACAAGGGCGCACTTATCAATAAAAGCTATTGCTCGAACAAGATTCACACAAGTCTCAAGAGACCAATGGACAACTGGCATAAGAAAGTCCTTAGTCCAAGCAACTTCCTCGCATATTATTTTTAGATTACCACGACACAACCAACCGCTCCCACTAATTAGGAGATTAAAATGAGATATTGCAGCAGTCCGTCAGTATTACTTATATCATAGCACACAATATGCCGCGCAATTTCCCATTAAAAACCAATCAACGTTAAGTGGTCCAGCCATATCTTAACAAGCTATGATGTACGTTAATTCCTTCATAGGTCCATACCTACGCGTATTCTAAAAATATAGCTGTAGGGATTAATCAGGCACTCGAGAAATATCCCAGAGGGGGAATGCAAGAAATCTGTTACATGTCAGTGTGGAATGTCCATGTGAACTGACAGACCGATAAATCGGAATCTTGAATTGAATTCGAGTTTTTTTCGCTGAGCTACGACTACGACAAAAATAATCGATTAATTAAGGGACTTGATGAGTTAGATATTTGCTATCGAAATGTTCGTTAGTTAGTCAGGAATTTGTTTTTATGCTACTCGTTAATGTCGTACCAAAATTATATCCTGTCAGTACTTCAATTCGATGGGACAGCTACACAATTTATAAAATGGATACTTAAATATTACAAAACTTCCCCTAACTATCTTAAGCGGATAGCCGAAAACTTAAGATTGATACTTCCAAAATTTTGTTTGCATTCTTCCAATTCATCCTATTACTGCTTTTTGTCTGTACCCATTTCCGGTTAATGAATCCGAAAATAAGTCTAGAAAGTTCCAAGAGGCAGGAAAATTGTTAACGAAAATCGGTTTACACAAGAAAAGCTACAGAAACCTTAAAATCTTCTACATCCTAGCGTTGTCCTAATTGGACAGTTCTCACGATCCATACAGTTTAGACTTTCCAAAGGCCTTCGATACTTTGGTCATAGCTTTAAAAAATGCGATGTCATTACCATAAGCATCACATTTCCACATTTTACACGCACAATTCACGCGATACTATGCTTAATGTGTTTCGTTCCCGTTCTGCCTAATTAATTTCATTAGTCGTCGTGCTGCACTGGGGAATGTTGTAATAGGCGACACACCTCTCTCATGTGATTAGAAACATGTTACATAGAACACCGGGTCGATAGCTTTTGAGCCTTACCTTATCAAGCCCAGATTTGTTATTTTGAAACTTTAAAGTAAATTTCTACTTTAAATTTGTAGGTTTTTTTGGAACAAAGTGTCCAAAAAATGTTGTATGACGAACGTGTAGGACGAACACAGAAAAGCTTTGAGACATTCTTGTTAAGTAAATTGAAACAGTTTCTTTATTAGTGGTGATTTCATATTGCCATCATGTTAATATAATGAATAATAGTGATCTA